TAGTGAGACAACCGGAAATAAAGACCACGTAGGATGTACTGACCTGCCGGGGTGAAGCGGCATCGGACAAGAAAAGCCGGCCGCAGTACTTGTCGTAGTTGGGCTTCAGACGCCAGTGATCGGCAGAAGAAGCAGGTCTCGCCGCCGCCGCCGCCGTTGCGAGACCACCACCGCCGCCGCCGCCGAACAGCTGCCAGAACGAATCCGGCTCCCTCCCCTCCTCGACCTCGACAAGCTCCCCCGTCAAGGTCAAATCCATGCCCACCAGCCTCGCGGAACTCAACTCGTCGACATGGCTCCCCTTGCCCTTCCAGAGATAACACTGGCCCCCGGAGGCGACCAAGAAAGGGAACCCCGAGCAGAGGCTGGACGGGGCCATGTCGAGCTCGTCGAAGACAACCTGGCCCAGGTGCCGCCGTCCACAGAGCATGCTGGGGGCCAGCGAGTCGTGCTTGTCGCTGGACCCGCGGCGCGTGACGACGACGCCGCCCAGCGCCTGCAGGAACGCGGCCGTCTCCTTGCCCTGCCGGAGGCGGACGAGGGGACTGCTCCCGCTGCCGCTGCCGCTGCCGCTGCCGAGGGTCCTGGCCTCGCGGCTCGCGAAGAGCTGGGCGTCCTCGACGGTGGAGGTGGCCACTTGGTCGCCGGCCCAGAAGTAGGTTTCCGACACGCGCCTGCCGGATTCGGTGGTGTAGTGGTGTGCGCAGAGGTACATGTCCTGCTCGAACAGGACGCGCTCGTTGTGCGCCGGCACGGGCCTCTTCTTGCCGTCGCCGAAGAGCTGGAAGAGCTGGGTGGTAGATGGACCCTGCGCGGGGCTGGGTACCCTGGTCTTGTTGGAGAGGATCTCGGCCGTGTCGACGCGATAGTCCCTCTTGGGGCGGGGGGTTCCGAAGAAGCCGTCGAGGAAGGCCGAGACTTCGTTGGGTTGTTGTTGGTTGCTGTTCAAAGTCCGGAGAGGCGGCGGCACGATGCTCTCCCGTTTTGGCGCTTCTGATCGGACGACTGCTTTGGCCTTCTCGTTTGACTTGAGGTTGGTGGCGGTGGTGGCGGTGGCGGCGCTGGTGGTGGTGGTGTCCGGCTCAGCCACGAATCTCGATACCCTCTTCAAGTCCAACTTCTTGGGAGAAGACGACGGTTGGGGTTCCTCGGGCTGGTTGGGTTCGTTTTCGCTACGTTTCGTAGGTGATGGTGTGCGTCTGAGTGTGCCAAAGGATCCAAGCGGTGCGATGTCGGTCGGCTTTTCCTTGGTCGCTGGCGGCGAGGGCAGCTTCCGGCCTACCAGGGGAGTCGTCACAGTATCTCCTTCCCTTAACTCTGCGCCTCCATTGGATCGGAGGGGCGTCATCGAAGTCTGCCGCGACGTGGAGGGCGTCTCGGGCTCGCGCTCGAGCTCGAGCTCGGGTTCTATAGAGGACACCACTGCTTTCTCCACGGGCCTCGGCGGCGAAGGCTTGTGCCGGATGGCGGCCTTCACGGCAACTTGGGCTTGGATGGACCGAGGCAGAGACGATGACGGGGATACCGGCGGCGGTGTTGACCGGGAGACGACTTCCAATCGGGAGGATGTCTCCTCTTCCTCTACCGTGGGCTCCGTCCTGAACGGGGACCGCACGGGTGTGGACGAAGAGCGTGCCGCCTGGAGTGGCTTGGCCGGAGTTGTTGCAACCGCGGCTGGCTGAGCCGACGTCGGCGCCTTTCTCCTGGGACCTCGGGCACGGCCCTTAGTCATGTGCGTCAACTGAGGTCCAGGAGCGGAGGGTTCGGGAGTGGTTTCGGGCGATGCGATGGAATCGGGGTCGTTCCGACCTCCACGGCCGTTGGTGGCCATGGGAGGAGGGCCCTTGGCCAGCAAGCCGGCGAGCGCCGGGTTAAAGCGATCTGCCAGGCCGCCTCCACCGGGTCCACCGGGTCCACCGGGTGCGGCGCCGTCTTTCCTCCTCGCGACAGATTTCTGCAATTCCGCCCGTTTCGCGAGACCCTCTGGGACAAGGGGTTTCTCGGTGGGCAAGGTGGCGCTGCGCGTGACAGTCACGGCGCGTCCCTCGGCCTGGGCCTTCTTGAAGTCCTCCTTCTTCTTCAAGATGGCCTCCTTGAACTCGTCTTTCCGCTCGCTGGGGTTCGGCCCGCCGGTGACGTTCAGGGCGGCCTTCCCGCGCATGATGTTCTGCTTCAGTTCGTCCGGGGGGACGTAGTTCCTGGTTTCGGCCCGGCGTAGGGTGCCGAAGACGTTCTTGAACTCCATCTCTTGCTCCCTGCGTGCCGGCACGGCCGACGACGACGACGACGACGACGGCAACGACGAATCCACGGATGCCTGGCGGGGCTTGAGGTTCGCTCGAAAGTCCTTCTTGGGAGGGGTTTCGGGTTTGGATTTGCCGGCAGCGGGAGGCGGAACGGGGCGAGCATGGGGATCTGCTGGCTTGTTTGCTTTTTCTTCGGCGTTGTCGGTGGCCGTGGCCGTGGCCGAGTTCGTGTTCGACCTCGTGTTCGACCTCGTGTTCGACCTCGTGTCTGGCTCCATCTTGGTCGGGCTCGGTGTACCACTCCCCCTGGACAACAAGGTGTCGCGGAGGTTTCCGCCGCTGATGCTGATACTCCCGGCGCCTCGGCGGTGACTACTAGTTGTTGCCGTCGTCGGCGGAGGAGAGTAGATGCCGCCGAGCCCAGCGGGGGACGTCTTGACGGCGGCGGCGCCCATTGGTGACGACCTCATAAGTCCGCCAATGTTGACCGAGTGCTTAGACGGCGCAGGGGGCGCGGGCTTGCCGAGGCCGTGGTTGTCGGGGTTGTCGGGGTTGTCGGGGTTGTTGTTAGCCCTCTGGGCCTTGGCCTTGTTCAGCTCCACCATCCAGGCGGGTTGATGGGCCGTAGAAGGAGGGGCGGGCTTGGGCTTGGCAGAGTCGGGCTTGTTCAGGGCGGTTTCCAACCAGCTCGCCTTGGTGGGGCTCCATCGTCGAGGGTCCATGGTCTTGGACGGGCTGACAGGGACGGCGGGGTCGTCGTGAGCCCCGAGCGTGGCCGTGGCCGTGGCCGTGTTGTTGCTGCTATCCACGGACGTTTCGGCAGAGGCGGCGGTCCTGCTGGGCTTGGGCGTATGGTCGGCGGCAGGGTTGGTATCGGTCGGCCCCTCTCTCGAGCCAGGGCGCGAGGATTCGGCGGAAGTGTCGGAGCGGCGCTCGCGGAACATGCTGGTGGGCCGTGACCTAGAGCGTGCCGTGCTAGACCTATCCCCCCCGCGACCCGGGGCGATGGAGTCCCCCCTGGCGACGGCGGGAGGGGAGGCGACGGTCCATCTCTTGACGCTGTCCGACCTCTTCATCATGGCGCTTTGCACGAAGCCGCCCATGCCCTTGGTAGGTGAGGGAGGTTTGGTGGGAGATGTGCGGCCGCTGGCGAATGGCACTTCTGGGGTTTCTTCGGTCGAGCGGGTCTTGGCGGACTCGGTGGACACGACGCGGCTCATGCCCGGTAGCTGGGCTCGCATCGACGACATGTCCAAGGGATCGGGATCCTCGACCTGGGGTTTCCGGTAGGCGGCAGAGCCGAGGCCTCCTCGGTCGGCGGTCTGACGGAACCAGGTAGGATCCTTGGAGCCCAGTGCTTGGGCGATCTGGTCTCTGGAAAAGGTCGTCTCGGTAGCGGAAGAGGATTCGGTAGCGGAAGAGGACTCGGAAGCGGCGACGGGAGGGGCGGCGGGTCTGGCTGCGTTCTGGTTCTGAGTGGGGGTGGGCAGCATGGATAGTGGTCTGGTTCTGGACGAGTCGGAGTCGGACGGCCGGGAGGATGGTGGAGGACGTCTCTGCCATGACAAGGCCCTGGGACCTTGAGGCGTAGTAGCGGTATTCGGCGAGGATGAGGCGGGCATGACGGTGGTAGCTGGCTTCTTCTGTTCCGTGGTGTTGTCGACGACAGGGCGATGGAGATGTTTGCTTATGGGCTCGGTTGAAATGGCGTTCGAGGCGGCGGATGGTGGGCTAGCCGATACGTCGAGGGCGGGAGATAGTCTCAGGGATCCAGAGAGCTGGGTGGCGTGGCGATGGGACGAGGGGGGCGGCGTGTTGGCGGGGGATGATTTCTGGGGGGATATGGATCTTGCACGTTCTAGAGGGGGCAGAGACGAGGTCAGTCGACAGACAGGACATGGAAGAGAGGACATGGAAGAGAGGACAGGAGACAGAGGACAGGAGACAGAGGACGGAGAAAACATACCGGCACGACGAGCTTGGCGCTCCTTCTTCTCTTGCTGGATTTTCTGGTCCAATTCTCTCTGGCGGGCATCGTCTTCTTCGGTTCTCCGTGCGTTCATCTCCTTGACGTCTTGAAGAAACTTGGAAACGTCGTCCATGGCGCTTTTCCCAAGTTTCCTTTGAAGGGAGAGGTGGGAGGAGGAGAGGGCATTCGACTGGGACCGAGGTAGGAGGCCTGTTTTTTTTCTTCTTCTCTTTCTTTTCGAAGCGGGATGTGAGTGGTGTTTACTTTGAGAGAAGCGCCAACAGTCCCGCGGCTTGGCGTCGTCGTCGTCTTGTTTTCTTTCCCTTGGATGGAGGGATACAGGGATGGAGGGAGAAGGATGAAGGAGAGAAGGACGGAGGGGCAGAGGGAAGAGGGAAAAGAGAAGAGAGAACGCACTGAAAGTGTCAACACAAAAGTCAACAAAGTCAAACAAGTCAACAAGAGACCAGCAGCCCGTAGCAACAAGCCCCAAGCCCTGTCGCGTCAATCAACTTTCGGTTTAGACCAGAATCCGGCCTGTGATTGCTTTCTTTTTGGTCTTTTTGGTCTTTTTGGTCTTTTTGTTAGCGTCAAAGGTTATGGCTCTTAGCTTGTCAGGCCCAATTCGAATCTGTGATACGACGACGGTTGACGTTCCCAAGAGATGCAAAGAAATGCGAGGGTGCAAGGGCAAGGGCAAGGGTCTGGTCTGGTCTGGTGGAATGCATCGCCAGGTCAGAGGTCGAGGTGAGGTCGAGGTGAGGGGGCGGAATACAACGTACATTACCTAAGGTAATTACCTAAGGTACAGGGAGGCCCGCTGACTCAGAAGACATGGGGGGTGCTAAGCCATGCCCTGGAACGGACACGTTTAGTGGGTGTCTAGCAGTGTTGGTATTTCCCTAGCGCTGGCCGGGCCTGAGTTGCTTCGTAGGGGCTGCCGAGTCACCAAATATGAAGTACAGAGTACTAGTCCACAAGCACAATTCCAATCAAGTCCCTCCCTACTACTGCTTGTACAAGTAAGGACGTTACACTTAAGTACCTCACTGCTCACGAACGTCTCTAACACCGACCGCCGGACTTCTATGGGATGCAATATACCTTACATGTAATGCTTGCAATATGCCACGCGCATGATGCACATCCTATGCTTCAACACGTCACTGCTCAACCACCGCCCCTCTACATCCCCCGGTTAAACACCACCATCCCCCCCTTGCCCCCCCGCCCGTGAAACTCAGGCTCCAGCTTGTCGACGTGAATCGTCTGCCTCTGCGGAAACACCGCCAACGCAAGCGGCAGCACCGCAACGCTCGTACACAAGATGAGCCCCAAGTTGACCGGCATCACCAACCTGGGCCGCGCCTTGAGCCACTCGGTGCGCTGCAACCTCACCAGCACCAGCGGCGGCAGCACCATGATGGGCGTCGAGTTGAACACGCGGCTCGCCGCCGTCTCGCCCACCGCCAGCCTCGCCGCCGCCTTGCTCCGCCCCAGGCTGTTGGGCACGGCCACGTCCCCGTCCGTCTTGCCCTCGGCCGCCGCCTCCAGCCCGTCGCCGTCGCCGTCCTCCGCCCCTCCCGGCACGGGGAACACGTCGATGCCCGTGCGCATCTCCTCGCCGCGCATCAGCACCACGTTGAGCGCGCCCGCCGTCGCCACCGCCGCGAACGGCACCAGCCGCGTCAGGATCGTGCGCGTCGAGGCGCTGATCCCGCGGACCCGGGGCACGAGGCCCCGGAGCCCCAGCGCCACGCCGCAGGATATCGAGACGGCCACCGCGTAGGACTGGGCCATCTGCGCCCAGTTCATCGGGGAGGACTTGTTGGCGTTGGCCGAGTTGATGGCTACGTTGAGGGACTGGTTCGCTACTTGCCACGATACCGTGCCTGTGGTCTTTCGTCGGGGGCGTCCGAGTTAGCTTGTTGTTTGCAACAAAACAACAAAGGCAGGCAGGGGAGAGGGGAGAGGGGAGAGGGGAGCCACGTACACCAAGTCCTGGTTGGAGCATCCCCGCGGTGACGATGAGGTTGGAGAGAACAAAGGACGACATGCGGAACGGAAGGAAGACCGGCTCGCCGGTGTCTAGCCAAGAACATGTCAGCGTGGGCCCCCCAAGTAGAAACGGATTGTCCACAAGGACGACGACACCAGTAAACTGACCTGGGTGTAGAGTCGAGTCGACCACCTTCTTCGCCTTCCATAGCTCCGGCGTCATTTCCCCGATCTTGCCCTGCTTATAGTCGATGAGGAGCTGCTTGCAGTGCTCCAGACCCGCCTTGTCGACAAGCAGTGTTCTGCGCAAAAGAATGTCACGTCAGTCGAGGAACCAACCGGGGACAGACAAAGGCAATGCGCACCTAGGATCTGTGAGGCCCATGGAATGTCGGACTCGGCCCCAGTACGTATCGAGGTCATATTGAGACGCCGGCAGGGGGCGGCTGCCGGGGAGAGAGGCCGACATGGTAGACGGGTTTCGTTCGAGGGTCCGGTCGTGTGTCCGCACCCCGCGCCCCAATTGACAGGACCAAGGGGGAGAAACGGAAAACGGAATGAATCACAAAGACCTGCCCAAAGGCGACCGAGCCCGTGTGCGCAAGAGGCTGCCGCTGTAAAGAAAAATAAAAATAAAAAATTTACACAGCCGGCAAGTTCTTATCAGTGCGGTGAGAAGACTAAGGTAAAGTTCCATGGGAGTGAGTGGCTCTTCCGATAAAGTACGTACCGGTATCCGTGCCTGGTATCGATTCAGGGTTCCTCCGATCGCGGGTCGCGTGCCGCTGATTTCCGACTACCTTTACCTTATGGACTGCCAATCATATGCCGTCGTACCTGTACAGTAGGTACCTTACACAGCTCAGGTACTTCTTAAGTTCCAGTTTACACCGTACCTGTTTCCCAGAGGTTCAGGTGCTCAACTGTACGTGTAAGTAAACACGGGTACAAGGTAAACAGTCAAACAATACAACCATTAAACTGGGTTTAAAGCAACCCCTTCAACTCGTGGGTTTGCGAGTAAAGTTATTGCCACCACAACCCACCAGCCAATGGGTGGAACAGTCATATTACCGTTGCGCCCGCTAACCGCTAGCTACTTATGGCTTATTTGTCACCCTTCTTCCCAACAGTTGGCCGCGTGGCTCAATGGTAGGGCGTCAGATTTCGGCTCTGAAGATTGTGGGTTCGAGTCCTACCGCGGTCGTTGTATTGATTTTTTGACGATTTCATTGATTCTTTTCTTTTATTTTTATTTTTATTTTACCGCTGGCTTTGTTATAGATCAACCATTCAATAGCGTGCTCGGACAGACTCTGCTATGAAAGACCGTCAAGCTTCAAAGGGGTGTTAGAAGTAGACAGGTCCTCATTGAAAATACTCTCTCGAAACCTCAACCCTTCTGTCTCTTAAATACTACGGAGGCAGGTCTGTCGCTACACCAACCATGGAACCAGCTTGAAATTTTGGGAATGCACAAGAGTCGTCGCCTGCATTGATTATTTGACCCATAGCCACAAGCCGGGTCTATGTACTGTAGGGCAGCTCTCTGTCTCAAGATCTAACCCATTCCCTATATACAGCCCCCGATTCATCCACCTTATTCGCCCTGTTTATCAAAGAATAGTCTCAGAGCCGGCAAGAAAGCGGCCGCATGTCGGAACTCCCCAAGCTTGACACGCATCTGGTCGAACGCCAGCAACACGACCTGATCCTTCACCTTCACCTTCTTAGCCGTAGCCGCAGCCGTAGCCGTAGCCGCCGCCTCGCCCTCCCCGTCCACCGTATCCTCCTCCGTGACCACCTCCCTCGGGTCCAGCAGCGGGAACTTGGCATACCGCTGCGAAAAATGCGTCAACAGCACGCGCCGCGCCCCCATCTTCTCCGCGATCCCCAGCGCCTCCCCCATGGTCGAATGCTTCTTGTCCTTCGCGTCCTCCACCTTGTCGTCGTCGAACGTGCACTCGTGCACCAGCAGCGTCGCGCCCCGCCCCACCGCCGCGAACTTATCGCTGGGCCGGCAGTCGCCCGAGTACGCCACCTTCAGCCCCGACGGCCACGTCAGCACCGCCGCCGTCGCGCCCTGGCAGTGCTCCACGAACACCGTATCGACGCGCTTCAACCCCCCCGCCGCGAGGGCCTCGGCCGTCGCCGGCCGGCCGTTGGTCGAGAACCGGAGCCGAGGCAACCCGATGTCCTCGACCTGGCTGTATTCCCGGAGCCACTGCTGCATCTGCGCCGGGCTGCAGACGCCCAACGTCCGGTCCGCCGTCGTGCCCTGGCCCTGAGACGACGAGGACGACGAGGTCAGGCGGTGCCACTCGCCGATGACGCTCGCGATGCCGAGGTGGTGGTCGGCGTGCATGTGGCTGACGAGGATGAGCCGCAGGTCGGCGACCACGCGGCGGCACTCCTCGTCGCCGAACATGCGGCGGAGCTGGCCGAGCGTGTTCTCGCCCGCGTCGAGCAGGTAGTTGCCGACGCCCGGCACGCGGAGCAGCGTGGCGGACACGTTGCGGTATTTGGACGGCAGCGCCGACCCCGTGCCCAGGGGGATCACCTCGGCGTCGCGGTTCGGCATGTCCTGCTCGGCCCGCTCCACCTCGGCCGAAAACGCCGGGTCGGCTACTTTTCGCTTGGCCTCCCGCGCCAGCGACACGATTTCGTCGTCCAGGTTCAGTGCTTCCTCGAGGCGCGGGAACGGCACCACCTCGGAATCCACCACCTGGAAGGTGGGCAGGTACTTGGCCCTCATGCCGGTGCGGCCTACCTCGACCGGAGGAGACCCCGCCGCCGCCGTCGTCGTCGAGGCGACGTCGCGGAACTTGTTGTTGAACTTGGGGATCGGGAACCGGTCCGGGTCGATGCGGCGCAGCGTCGTCAGCAGGGCGGCGTAGCTCTCGAAGGCGAGCATGTTGGGGGATACGTCGGGCGCCATAACCACGTGCCTGACGCCGGGCCTCTCCCGGATGAAAGACTGAATGGCGGGGTCGTCAAAGACGGATTCTCCGAGAACCCAGTACAGGACGTGGACCTGATCCATGAGTCCCTCGGACCTCCACTCGGGTCGGTCTACGAAATGCTGGACGTAATCCCGGGACGGAATCTCGAACAGGGCAAAGCCCGAGCCCTTGATGGGGGCCTCGAGGACCATGTCGGGGGTCACGTCGATGCCGTCCTTCCCCTTGACGGCCTGGCCCGCCGTCAGGAGCTTGAAGTCTTGCACGGCGACGCCCAGCTCTTTGGCCACCTTGGGGTTGAACTTGCCCCTGCGGCCTTTGTTCTTGACGACGTAGCAGAGCGACGTCGACGACCGCGACGTGGGGGGTAGCGTCCCGAAGCGAACGCCTGGCCAGGGTTGCCGGACCAAGACGTCGATGTTGGGCGCATCGGGGTCCTTATCCGGGAGGGGGCCTTTATACCGCTGGATCCCACCGCCTTCGTTGCGGACGAAAACGGTGGCGGGCAGTTCGACGTCGTGAAGTTTGCTCTCGACGAAGGAATCCGGCCTCCAGTCGGAGTTGAACATGGAGTCGATGACCTGGCGGACATACGCGGCGTCGTCGTCGGCCGCAGCGTTGTCTGCTGCCGGTTGCCGATCCTCGGTGGGGGCGGGGCCATCAGCCGTTGATGCAGCACCTGCACCTGTACCTACCCCGCCGTTCTCAGACTCAGTCATCATGTCAAAACTCCTCTTTTTCCGAGACGACAGAGGCATACCGTTCCCGGCCACAGCGGCAGCCGCGACAGCCACGGGGACGTACCACACCCGGACCGAGTCGTCCTCCCAGTCCGGCTTCTCCGGGTCGACCTCCGGGCTCGCGATCCTGGGGTCGACGTCGAAGTCCACCGCCCGGATGGGCATGCCGGTGCGGAAGATGAAGTGGCGCGCGGTGGCGACGGTGTAGGCGAGGTTCTTCGCCCCAAAGACCTCCAGCTCCCGCTCGACCAGGCTGAGCTGCGCCTTGCCGGTCTCCCGGCGGATCTTGTTCTGGGCCTCGGTCTGGCTGTTGGTGCTGGCGAGGGCGTCGGCGACGGTGAGCATCATGCCCATCAGGCCGCCGACGTTCTGCCAGGTGACCGGCCCGGAGAGGAAGAGCTTCTCGAGCTTGGTCATGGAGACGCCGCGCTGGGTGAAGGCGCGCTGCGTGCCCTGGGCGAGGTTGCCGAAGAAGTAGCGGCGGTGGTCGAAGTGGAGGAGCAGGCCGGCGCCTTGGGTGTCGGCGGTCGGGGCCGTGATGATTTGTACGAAGCTCGACATGGTGGTTCGGCCTTCGGGGGGGGTGGGAGTGGGAGCGGGAGCGGTCGGAGATGTGGTTGGGTTTGGTTTCGGGGTTGGCGAGGCTGAGGGCGAGGCTGAGGGCGGGGCTGAGGGCGCGGGGACGATAACGTATGATCCTGGGGGGAGAGTCTTGTAGAAGGAAGACGGAAAAGAGGAGGGTCGGGATGTTTTTCCGGGTTTTCGAGGCGATCGAGGCCGGTTAGGTCGTGGAGGAGGAAGAGGACCACGAGGAGGAGGAGAGGTGGAAGAGGTTGAGTGGCGGGGAGAAGAAGAGGAATATGGGAAGTGTTGCTCGATGGGACACCTAACGACGAATTGATTGACCCGATGATTGACCCGATGCCTGAGAAAGCAGGCCCATGACATGGAGAAGTAAGCCCTCACATGCGGACAGAAAGTATTTGAGTAAGTGCAGTGGGGCAAAATCTGGCTGTTCTCTGTCAACACCAAAAGAAATGGAAAGGAAAAAAAAAAAGAAGAAAAAAAGCTCGAGATGATGTCGGTGCAGGTACGAAGGTACGGGTGCAGAGTACGCAGGTACTTCGCTACATAGGTACGAAATTACTCACAATTTCTCCCCGCCCTTTCTTTCTCCACCCTTTCCCCACCCTTTGTCAGCCGTATCGTGGAATCACGTGGTGATAACGTGCTGAACCCTTTCTTTGGTCAATCCCTCCCGTCCGGTGCCCCTTGGTCCCCGGCCGATAAGATCCCGATTGATATGCCGGTGCCCCTCATTTGGGCAAGGGCCAAAGGGGATCTCGAGGAACGGCGGCTTATACGGACACCGTCATGAGCGGTACCAGCCGGACGTTATAGTTCTAAAAGGAAAAAATAATACATAATTTCTAATTCCGTTCCCACCGAACATCACCATGAGTCTTTTATGCAGCTGCTTACGTCCGACCCGCTCCTCGCTTCTAACATCCCCAGTCCGCGCTTCTTCACCCTCCATCGCGACAACACACACACCCACCCGCACTCGCAGAGACACACACACAAAATCCACACAGTCCTCGCGTGCCAAACCCACCATGTCCGAGAATAAAGACATCCGGAACCCCCATCCGGACTTCAAAACAGTAGAAGCCTCCCGCCCGGACTGGGACCCCAAAGCCCTCCGCTACACAAAAACCCCGGACCCAAGCTGGACCTACGGATCCGGACCCAATGCCACCTCTTCCGTCGCCTCTCCTCCACGAAGCAATGCAACCTCGACCCCTCCAGCCCACATCCCCATAGACCCGTACGCGGCAAACCGGCCCCCAGGCGCCAACTACAAACTCCTCATCTCCTCCATCGCCCCCCGCCCCATCGCCCTCCTCTCCACCCGCTCCCCGGACGAAGCGCGCGACTCCGACGCCGAGAAAGACAACCTAGCCCCCTTCAGCTTCTTCAACGTCCTGAGCCACGACCCGCCCCTCTTCGCCCTCGGCTTCGCCTGCAGCCTGGCCCGCCCCAAGGACTCGCTCCGCAACCTCGTCGACACGCGCGAGTGCGTCATCAACCTGGTCGGCGAGCCCCTCCTCGAGGCGGCCAACGCGGCGAGCATCGACAGCCCGCGTGGGGTGAGCGAGTGGGTCGTTTCCGGGCTCACGCCCGTGCGGGACGCGGAGACGGTGCGGTGCGCGCGCGTTGCCGAGGCGGTGGTTTCGATTGAGGCGAAGCTGGATTTCGTGAGGGAGTATGAGAGTCGGGGGGCGCCTGGGAGGATTGGCTCGACGGTGGTTATTGTGGAGGGGACGAGGTTTTGGGTGCGGGGGGATGCGGTGAATGAGGACCGGAGTGTGGTCGATTTGTCGGTGCGTTCTCTCTCTCTCTCTCTCTTTTTTTTTTTTTTTTTTTTCTTTTTTGGTCCCCTAGCATTGCGAGTATGACAACTGACTGCTTCTCAGGTGTTACGACCCATAAGTCGACTGGGAGGTATCTCGTATGGACGCACCACCGAGGCCGTCGAACTCCTGCGGCCTGTGTTTGAGGAAACGCTGGGCATGGACGGGTACGAGAAGCTGAAGGAAAAGAGACGACAGCAAGAGAGGCAGCTTCAAAACGGAGAGCCGAACTGAGTGGATTCTGACGTTGGATGCTGTATGAGGGGTGATATAGAGTAGAATAGAAACAAACCGAGTGGAGGTGGAGGACGCATATCGAGACACTTAGACTTTAGACTTCGAGAACAGCCGGGAGATGTGACGGTCATTTCTTCGTGATGCACCAGGTCCGAGATTAATACAATATCAAATCACCGAAACCAAACCGCAAAGCAAAAACGCAAAACTCCAGGCTCGCCGAGTCCCGTTGAACCACGTCCAGTTTCCATCTGCCTGCCCTACCTATCCCGCATCGTATATAGAGCATATCGAAAAGAAAAAAAAAACCCCCCAAAAAACCCTTGGTAAGAGTAAAGATCAGACATATATACTCTGCCCACAGTAGGAAAGAATAAACTCCACCCCAGTCTGCGCCTCGTCCTCATGCGCCTGCAACTCCTTCAGAATCCTAGCCCCTTGATCAACACCATCCAACTTGTCCTTGACATGGATAATGATCACCTTGACACCCTCGAGCGGCCTCGTCGTGGTCCCCGATACCGCGGCATTCGGCTCCCCCGTCTCCCTACCGTCGTCGAAAGAATGCCGCGGCGAAGGCGAATGGGAACGAGACGCCAGTTCAAGATCCCGCGCAACCACATCCTTCAACGAGAGCTCGGCCGTCGGCGTGGCGAGATGTGGTGTCCCGGGTAGCGAGTGCTGCTGCTGCTGCTGCTGCTGCTGGGGGACCCCGACCCCGTCATCCTGCTGCGAATTGAACCGACTCCGCACCGTCTTGGGACTCACCGCCTCGCTATCAACCCCCTTGACCCCCTCGCCGCCGCCGCCGCAGCCGCCACTGTTGAAAACAGGCCCCGTCTTCCGCCGGGAAGGGGCGTCACAATCGACCTGGAGCCTCTTGCGTTTCTTCAGACTGTCAAGCCCTCCTCCTCCTCTTCCTGCTGATGTTGTTGCTGCTGTTGCTGCTGTTGTTGTTGTTGTGGCTGCTGCTGCTGCTGCTGCTGCTAGGGCGGCCTCCTTCCCAACGAGGCCCGAATCAGAAGACGACCCCGCATTCCACAGACACCGGAGGACGTCGACCTCCCGCGCCAGGGTCCGGAGCTCGTCCATCACGAAGCTGGGCTTCATGTGTCCGAACAGGCGGTCGGCGCTCTGGCTGTCGTCGTAGCTGCACTCGATGAGGACGGCGCGCAGGGCGCCCCGGGCGATCTTGGGGGCCGCTTCTTTCCAGATGCCCAGGTTGCGCGGGTAGGAGGACAGGGCGTCTGGTTCCACGTCGCCGAAGATGAGGACCTCGGAGCCCGTGGTGGTGTCGCGGAGGAAGTAGACTGTCGAGTCGTAGACGGGAGGGGGCGGCGCTGGCGGGGGTGCGTCGAGGAAGTTGGCTTGTTGTTGTTGTTGTTGAATGAGAAAGGGACAGGAGGCGGTGCGGGGTTGGGGTGTTGCGGGGGGGTTATGGTTATGGGAGCGTGGGGGGATGTGTGGTTGGGGTTGTTGTTGGTGGTGATGGTGGTTGTTGTGGTGGTGGTGGTGGTGGTGCGGCTGTTGTTGTTGCTGCTGCTGCTGCGCGTAGGGGTGATATGTTTGAGTATAATGGGAGGGCATGGAAGAAGAGGCATCGAGAGAGGCGTGTCGAGCAGGAGTACTAGTGGCGGATGATTGAGAGTTGCGGTGGGGAGGAAGAGGTTCTATGGCGGTTCCGTGAGAAATGGACCACGCTTTTACGCTGAGGCCCTCGGCGACCTCGAGGTACCCCCTGGCATCACCTTCTCCGATAGCCGGGCTACCGCCGTCGACCAGGCGAGTATAGGTCACCAGGCCAACGCCGCCGTTCTCGTCGGAGAGGTTCGGCCAGATGACGTTGTTGAAGATGTGCTGCTTAAAGGCGTCAATGGTGGCAGGCAGGCCGGCGAGGCGCTTCGGCCGGGGTCCGCCGGGGACGCCGGCCGTGTTGACGACGAAACCGGCGATGTGGTCCAGGTGAGGATGGGTGATGAGGTAGGTGTCGACGAGAGAGCGGGCAATGTGGGCGGCGTTGACACGGGTGGAGGCAGAGTGCACCTGGAAACCGGCAAAGGGGCCGCTCTCGAGGGTGTGGGGGAGAGGGAGGGAGGCGAGGTTGGCGGGCTGGGTGGATTCGAGGATTTGGACGATGGCGGCGAGGTGGACGCCGGCGTCGACGGCTACCACGGAGCATTTCTGCCAACCGGCGGCGACGGCTCGGACGAGAAAGGCGGTGGTGTTGTTTTCTAACGGACCGCCGCCGGCGCCCTAGATGACGGTGGCGTGAGTGTGTGTACATTGGTGATATATGACCAAGACCTGTCACATATTCGTTCTCACATTGAGAGG